CAATAAAATAAGTTTGACAAAGATTTTTATCCCAAAATACTTAGGAAATTTGAAATAATGCAGAGAAAAGTAATCCTTGTCATATCAATATATTGAAAAAGAAAGGGTATAAAGTTCGAAATCATAATGGCAGGTTCACAGTTTAGGTTTCAGACTTTGAGTTGTTCCCAAGGAGAGTTAGTTCGAAATATCTCGTCCCATGTGCTCATGCCATCACATGCATTAGAAGGATAGAATCCTGACATGTATATCTCTGAATACTTCAAAACACAACTGGAGAAGCACACATGCAAACGTGCTGTAGTCTATGGATGGACCAATGACATAGATAAGAAGTGATTAACTGATTATGAGTCTGTCCTCCTACTTGATTTTAGAATTATGTCGGGGAGACCAAACAAGAAGAGAGTAATAAGCATTGAGGAAATGGAGTACAAGAGGAGACCAAAAAGGAAGCATGTGTAGAGTTTTTGGCTCGTGGTAAAAAGGACACAACCAAGCTTGGTAGAAACGGGAGGATAATTGTGTGTAAAAATTGTGAAGAACCTCATCACAATTCCTGGTTGTGTCAAAAACTGAAGCGAACTCAGGAGAATGTAGCTCTACCGGTATGCGGTGGTGAGAGAACATGTGATTGGGATGTCGGTGCTTCTAAGAACTAAGTAAGCTTTTGATGATTTCCTTGATTGTCTATTGTTCAATGGTAGTTTGTGGTGTTATTGTTGTGTGGTTGTGGGATTTGTTCTATAGATTTTATGCGCGTTTGTTTAGAGTAATGGTGGCACTAGCTAGTAGTAGGATGTAGTCATCAGCCAAGAACAAAACACTATTTGCGAAATGTGGAACGCATTGAAATATTGACAACGCTTTGGTGTTCTAAACATAAGGATGTGTGAAAATGCAACATGCTTTGTATGTTTCTACTTTTTCTCCTTTGCTTTCTTGATTTTTACTGAATTCGCCATTATGAGAGGGGAAAAAAGAAATGCAAGATGCTTTGATAGGAAATACGATGCTTTAATATCCGAATCAAGGGCATTGACGATAAACAAACAACAACTTTGACAACATACAAGACAAGCACCACCACCTTCAATTAGAACGAGACTTCGCATTATTAGATAGTGGCAGCATTGCTGACTCATTTTGCAAAGTTTGTCTGGGAGCCACCTGCAGTCAAGGCGAGTCCTGCGCTATTTACTTGAGACGGTTGCTTAATGTATGTTTTGTTACGACCTTTGTGCTGACATTTGTATCATGCTCACGATGCTTTGTTGCAGATTAATGCTATTAATCCTGCTACCGAGCCTGCTTGTCTTGTTCTAAGTGTCGATGAGACCGTCAAGAACCCAAATGTGATCTTTCTTTGAACCCCTTTCACCCAAATTTTCAAGCAATTAGCACATTCTTGGTGATGGCTAGAGCAAAATTTTGGCACAAGTGTAAGCACTGAATGCTCTTTTCGGTTCTAGTGTTTGATGGTGCAGTTGAGAGTGCTCAAGGAGATGCTGTTGGCATGGGTGGTCGAGGGGGAAGGGGAATGAGAAGGCGATGATTGGCTTGCAGTTTACTGCAGGAGTATCCCAGATGGATTTTTTTCTCCTTTGTTTTCCTTTGATCAATATCCACGGCTACGCCGCGGGAAATATATTAACACTCATGACTACATCGTAAAAAATGTTTAGACAGTGACTCCAAGAAAAGGTTGTTAACCATCAATATACCATCAGAAATATAAGGGTTTACCAATAAATTCTATGCTTCGTAACAACTGGACTCTACTACTACCACTGAATACTTCTTATCAAAAGTAGAAGATTTGTAATTAGTCAATAGTGATCTGTCCAGCCGTATTGCAAGACAAATTTGTAATGTTTTCTACACCGACAAATTGATCCTACCATAGTTCTGATCGTATCACCATCAAGTATTTTCTCTTCTATAACTCGAGCACTTGAGTATATATTCCTAAGCTGGCTTTATTTCATATTGGAAAGTTTTGTGAGAGGATTTCACTTGCAAAATCAATTTCGATGGGGTTTATTTCCTTCCTCTGATCTATTTGCTACTGTTTCACTTTTTGGCGCGTAGTGAAAGAGCTTCATCTTTGGTCTTCCCCAAACCCGCCCTAGCCCTAGCACTGAAAGAAAAGGATAAAAAAACTCAAAATAAAAAGAGCTCCCATCTTTGGCCATCACCGCTCTTTCTGCCGCCCCCTCCCTGCCAAATTCTTCTCCATACTCTTCCTTCTCCAATCACATCACTACCAATTTTTCTTCCAATCAACAATCATCTCTCCATCTCTCAAGTCTCCACCATCCATTCACTCTTCCTTCTCCCATGCCTCTTTGGTCCTTTATAGTATACTTCCATTTACACATCTCCTCTTGCCCACAAAAGCCTGAAACGGAGTAGCCCTTGCCTCTTTCTTATCCATTTCCCTAAAAAATCCGGCGACCTCCTCCAATTCTCGCTTTCTCTTTTCCCCCGGTTTGAGATGATGGGGAATAGGATGTCGGCGACCCTTTGTTGATGATGATGATGATATTCGATTAGGCAAAGCCGTACTAGCAGCGAAAGTAGAAGCTCTGCCTTCAATGTGCTTTGCCCATTGGTGGACAAGGCGCCATGAAACCCGTTGACCGAGGAGGCGGCTCTACCGACCATCATTGCTCAGTCACAACTGGCGATCAATTGGTCGTTAGCCCTCCGTGCAGGAGGGGAGACAAAGAGAGGTCTGTTGGTTTCCATTTTTCGTCTCAACTAGATCAACTTTCCCGATGTTTGGTCGCAGTGTCCCAACGCAAGTACGAGATTATCTACCATAGACCGACGATGCATCCTCGGATGAATTGGTAAGTTCCCTCTGCTCTTAGAAGACCTCCCGCTAATTCAAAAATACTCTGCTTGGTCATCGCTTTCTTTCTTTTGAACCCCCCCCCCCCCCCCCCCCCCCCCCCCCCCCCCCCCATTTTCCTTGCAAAATTTCTTCTCTCGAGGAAACCCCACTTTGGCGGACGAAAAATGGCAGCAACTGATCAATGGCAAGAAAATTGGCTCAGCTAGCGTCAATCTTTGGTCAAAGAAAAATTCCCTTACTTGTAGGACTTCAAAAGGTTTAGTTACCAAAATGTAATACACAAAAAATTAGATACTAAAATGTAATGTTCCATCAATATTTTGAGGACTTTTATGCCAAAAAAATAAATTTATGTTATAAATCTAAAGATCTATTAAGTTTAGGTATCGAACTGTAATTTGCATAGTTGATGCTTAATTCCTTTTATGATGATGTATTTAAGATGATAAATATTTTTTTTATAGAAAATAGGAAACTATTTATTTGACATGTATAATTGTTGAAAATTTCATGTATAATTTTTGAAAATTCTAGCCCTGTTGAAAAAGAAAAACTCTAGAGAGAAGCAAAAAAAAAAAAAAAAATACAAACTGGAACTCTCTTTAGAGTTTTTCTTTCTCACCCGAGCTAGAATTTTCAACAATTATACATGGAATGCAGCCACTACTGTCTGTTTCTTGGTCCACCAAGACACCGGACTGGCGCCGAGCGTGACAAAATAGTCGGTAGTGGACCGACGTGTCTGCTGACACCCACCCCAGTCAGCATCGCGGTAACCGGTGAGAACTGGAGCGCCGACAGAAGAGAAAAAGAGCCCTCGACCTGGAGCCATCTTCAAATACGTAAGAACCCTATGAGTCGCGTCAACATGTGCCTGTCGCGGAGAATGTACTGCCTGGCTAAGAATGTTCACTGCATAGAGAATGTCTAGTCTGGTGACAGTGAGATATAATAATCTTCCAACAAGACGACGATAAGCAGCAGGATCCTCTGCCGAAGGACCCTCGAGACTGGTGAGATGGTAATTCTGTTCGATGGGGAAAGCACACGATTGTGCGCCTTGAACTCCGACATCGGCCAATATATCCAACGTGTACTTGCGCTGGGTGAGCACAATACCACGCTGAGAACGGGAGACCTCAATCCCTAAGAAATACTTCAGAGGCCCCAAATCTTTTTATACTGAACCGATTATGGAAGAACTCCTTGACTCGTTGTATATCAGGCATCGAAGTTCCTCCTATAATCACATCGTCAACATATATAAGAATTACCAAGAATACCTCAGCTCGTCGATATGTAAAGAGAGGCCGCATATAAACTTCTTCCTCTAAATCGCCATGCAGAAATGCATTGTTTACGTCCATTTGATGAAGAAACCATCCGCAATGGGCAACCAAGGCGAGGACGCATCGAACTGTGACAAGTTTGGCCACTGGCGCAAACGTGTCATGAAAATCAATACCCTCAAGCTGCGTAAAATCCTTGGCAACAACACGAGCTTTATGACGCTCGATGGAGCCATCAGGTAGGTGCTTAATCTTATACACCCACTTAGAGTCAATGAGGCGTTTGCCAGGGAGGCAGCTCGCACAAATCCCAGGTGTCGTTCGCCTCCAAGGCATTGACTTCAGTAGTCATGGCGTCACGCCATACTTTATAACGTACGGCCTCGTGGAAAAACTTCGGCTCTATAGCACGGGAAACAGCTGCAATGTAGGCCCGGTGATTAGCAGACAAATAGTGATAAGAAACGAAAGCAGCCATGGGATATTTAACATTAGCAACAGTGCATGATTGCGAAGAAGGAAGAGAGGTAGGAAGGTTGACCTCATAACCATCAAGACGGACGGAAGGTCGCCGCACACGAAGAGCACGACCCAGCTGCTGAACCTCCTCAGCTACCGGAATGGGAGGGGTTGACCCCTCTTCGGAGTCATTCTCGACATCCGGCGTTGAATTAGTGGGAACGATAGTAGGGAGAACGGAAGGAGTGGGCTCGTCCTCACTGGGAGAAGATAGCAGCGCCTCCTCAGCATCAAAAAATTCACGAGGAACACAAAACGGGACCACTCTTACTCTGCATTTTAACCACTATTCTCAGAGGTTTCTGAATATTCAAAGAAATCATGATTCTCATTTAATCACTAGAAACTCCTGAATGTAGCTCATCCCATCGAATGAACCTACCAAACATAGAACCGACCTTTTCTGCCATTTGGATATTCCTCATATTCACCGGAAACTTCCTTATTCGAACCCAGAAATCTGCCCATGAGAAGTCCAGTTTTGATAGATCTAAATCTGGTGGTACCTCCTTGAATATTAGCAGTTGACGTTCCAGATGCCAAGGCCCTCCAAAGAGGAATTTGTTCTTGTCCTTATAACAATAAAGTTGGATACTAAGGATGTCTTCTTTCGGGACTTGCAGATCAAAATCTTTTTCCAGTTTCCACGCTTCACTAAGAATCATTTTGAGGATTCGAACTGATGGAAGCTTTCCTTTAATAGCTTTTCCTGCATGACCTAATTCCTTAATGGCTTCTTCCACTCCTTCCGTAGTGACCGTATCTTCCAAATCAATAATCGATTCTTCTTCTTCAGTTAAATCAATGCTAGAAAGCTTTTTGACTAGTTCGTTTTCCATTGTTAATGCAGAAAACCGAAACAAGGTCAAAGTGCAACAATAGTGCCAGAGAGCACAGGGGAGACCAACCGTCAACAGACCAAAATCACAAAGGAAAAAACCAGAACAGAAGACAAGGTAGCACGATGGGACAGTGAGAATGAAGAATACAGAAAGAAGGGAGACAAAGAGGAAACCAGGGGACACAGGCACCAGAGAAAGAATCAGAAGGTCCTCCAAACTTGAGGGAAAGTGAAACGTCACCACTTGCAGAAGGGTTAGAAAACAGAGAAAGCTTTCTAGTGACAGAGAGGAAAAACTTTTAAGTATGCCACGTCACATATTTAACGGTCAATAATATGTTGATGAGAAGGTTTTATGTGTAGATACTTAACCTTTCCGTACAGTAATATCGGGTTTCCATTCTTAGTTAGGAATTAGGATATAAGTGATAAAAATCTTAAACTATGAGCTCTTTGTTGATATTTACCAAAAATAAAATAAATGAACACAAATGAAGAAAAGATGATAAAACCCAAAACCCTACAGCTCTGGTAAAATCCCACACCCTTCCCCTCTCCTTCCTAACCTTCTTCCCCATAAACCCTTTCGACTCAAGTCATATCTCTGCTTCCTCAGTCCTCATCACTCTCAGCTTCTGGCAATCGAAATGAATTCACCAGTAAGTCCCCCCAGCGCCCAATTTGCCCTCTCTCCTCAAGTCCCCCCACCTGAACTGAGCTTGCAGCTCGTTCATCATTTCATTGAGCCTGTTTGTGTGATTTCCTTAGCCTGTAACTTGAATTGGTGATTACTGATACAGTCTTCATGCCGCCTTTGCTTCCGTGTCTCCATTCTGTTTCTTCATTCTCCTGGAACTGTGGAACAGTACTTCGCTGTGTGTGTGTGGAAGAAGCTCAGTGCTCTGTGTGTTCTTTTAATTGTTGAATTCGGTTTCTAACTTTCCTCTTCGCTGCATAGCTCTCTGCTTGGCGACGCCGCTGGTTTCGTTTGTATTGTTTTTTAGATCTTCTAATGAAGGAATTGGCGTTTTTGTTTGCACAGGGCATGGGGAATTCGAGGTCGGTTTGATTGGAAGTGCAGTTCATAGAAGAGAGGAGTTGGAGAAATGGAATTGAAGAGGAAATCACCGGAGCAGCTTGAAGCTCTCCGGAAGTTATTTTCCGGTAAAGTGTTATCATACTTATATACCTCCATTCTCTGCTTAATTTGAGAACGAATTCTGCTAGGGCTTGCTTTTCGGTTGATCCTTTAGTTCCCTCATGAAGTGCTTCTGCTTCCCTATTACTGCAATTCGAACTCCAATTCTTCATTCAACCTCTGGTAGGCACCTTACATGAAGGCAGTAGGGTTACTCTGTTTGATTATGGCTGCTGCCTAGTTTGAGTTCTGATAGGCTTTTTCCCAAAACAGAGGAGAAGTATCCCACCAGTCGTGCTATTGAAGAACTTGCCGGCTCCCTTGACCTTACAGTTGCCCAGGTCCGGGGATGGTTTATGGAGAAAAGGAGGAGGGAGAAAAGTAAGAAACGACTGGCTGTAACCCCTATTCAGAGCAAGAAGCTCCCTTCCGGCAAAGGAAGAAAGATACTCAGAGAGGGGGGATCATTGAGTCATGACATGGCTAAATCTAGCAGTAGTCTGTCTTCGGAAGTGGAAGATGGGATTATTGAGAGGTCCTCAAAATTGACTCGCATACAACAGTTGCACTCTTCGGAATATATTATGAGCAAGGTTTTCCGTAAAGATGGGCCTGCCTTGGGTGTGGAATTCGACTCTGTTCCTTCCCGGGGATTTCATACTATTAAAGGTAAACTACCCAGATAGCATTGTACATTCTTTCTTAATGGAATATGATTATAGGTGTATATAGGATTAGGTGGGCTCTAACCTGCTCTTAAGGATATTTATCTACTTCTCGAGAAGTAGGATCAGAAATTGTTGGAAGAAGCAGAGAGGCTCGTGAAAGCATGCTTGTCATCTTTCTAGTCTGCCCCTCTTTGTTTATATGATGTTGAATTGTGGAATATAGTAACTGAACTTGTCTGAACTCTTGCTGTTTTCTTTTCTGTTAGATTTGAGGTTATGTGGCTACCGGCAGATTTATTGTTTGTTCTTAATTATTATGCTTCCTTTTTGTTTTGAAACAATACTGTCATTTTTCCCCGTATTCAGAATCCATAAACTATCTTTCTGCTTCCGAAGAAAATGAAGCAACGATCAGGAAGAGAAAGGTACTGCAAGTAAACCCTTAGATGGTTCTTTCCACAAAATGTCCACTATTCATCTCTTCTTTGTCCATTGCCTTCAGTTCTCACTTTTCTTTTGTGGTTTCCCAGCATGTTGATGTTGAGGATTGTACATTGAGTGAACTTGTGAAGAAACATTGTATGGGCAAAGGCTTGATGAGAAAGGTAAGGATAACATCTTGTGCAGGATACTGTTGTGCCATATATTCATAATTTATATTCTTCTGCTTGCCTTTTCATACTGTCTCAAAATTTTCTCCTATTTTGTGGCTTCTCAGAATGCCAAGGATTGTAGAATAGGAGTGTCCACTATGAAACATGGTATGGGCAAAGGCTTGATGAGAAAGGTACTGTAAATAAATGTCTAGGCATGATACTTATTATACTATCTTTTACCTCAATCAAAGATTATTCATTATCCTCTGTTCTCTCCTGATCTTCCAATCTCAGGAATGTACTGTGAGTTCATCGATAAAGAAACATGGTATGGGCAAAGGTTTAATGACAGCATGGCAGGCCATAAATCAAGATAGCATAGATGTTCCAACTGAAAGACAAATATCTAATACACCTGAACCAACAACTGCTGAATCATGCAAACTTCGACGTCAGAAGAGGAAACGACAACCCATATCTGTAATGCTTAGATACCTTTGCCTTTCTAAGAGTTTGTTTTCATTTGACGGAACATTCCTATTATTCCTCATGTCTTGGGATGTCATGGTGACATCTCTGGCTGTGATGGATCGTCAAGTCCAAAATGTAAATTTGTTTTAATGTACCTCCAAAGCAGGTAAAGGTTGGAGAAAGTTTGAAGGAGAAGCGGAAGGCTTCTTTCAAAAGAAAAGAGATAGGATCTAAAGGACAAGAGACCGAGAAGCAACTCTTTAGGGAGACATGTGAACTTGCTCTGGATGGAAGGATACCGCAAGACCTGCTTAATCAATTTACATTGTTAATGGATGATGAAGAGGTGGAGATGCGAGAGTTACAAGCAGAACCAAACCCACTAACATGTTCTGAACATTGTGCTGCCAATGGATTGCACAGTTTTTCTCTTTGCAAAGGTGTGTATCAGTTTTCATACTTTGGGATACCTTTGATTGCTGAATTGTGCTTCCAGGTTTGTTCAATATATATTTGAATACTTCCAACCTAGAGTCTTTCTATTTTCTTTAAAACAGATTTGCTGCCTAAATTTCCTCCGGTTTCTGTACACATGAAGCTGCCATTCACAGTGCAGCCTTTGGAGTGTTCGTCGGAGTCTGTCAAGAAATTTTTCAAGGTGAGTAAAGCAAAAATGACAGCGTTCAGTGCCTCACCATTTTAAGTATTCAAGTCAGGTCCACGGAGCTCTTTCCTTTGTGGGTTCTCGAGTATCCTCTGAACTATCCACTGAGTTGGGTATGCGTTGGTGATTTTGTGATAATAGCTGTGCCTGTTTCAGTTTTTGTGTATTGGTGCTCTTCTTTGTTGAGCCTTCATTCTTATCTTCCTATTTGGCAAAGAAAATAAGGATTATAGGACAAATTCTAAAGGTAGTCATGTTCTTTATGACCTCATCCACCATCTTTTTTCTTTGTTCTTGAATCGGTTAATGAACTTCTAAAGTTACTGGGTTTAACATTGTTGCTCTATATGAGGGCATATAGAGCATTTGTTGCTGCTCCTTTTCAGTCCTTTCTTATACCATTTGGAGGCATTTACATCTTGTATATACTATTTTTGCTATGCAGATCGTTAACTTATTAAAAGGAAAAAATAGTGTTGCTCTATATGATCTTTACCCAATGTTCTTAAACATAGCTTTGCTGTTTCTTTCTTGTTCGCAGGTTTTGCATTTCCTTTATACATATTCTGTTACAATTGACATATGCTCCTTCACGTTGGATGCGTTTGCTCAAACATTTCATGACAAGGTGATTTCTGAGATGATTTATGGTGGCTTTTATTTGACATGATTTGTTGCCATTTGATGTAATTTTATCGAATTTCTTGTAATCTTCTTTTCAGGATTCCTTGTTGCTTGGCCAAATTCACGTAGCTCTTCTGAAGCTTCTTTTATCGGACGTTGAGCGAGAGATCAGCAATGGTTTTCTGCCTCATTTGAGCATATCTTGCAAGTTTCTGGCATTACTTCATTCAGTGAGTACATATGACTCTGCTGAAGCTCTAACTTTAATCTGAGTACAGAGTGTAGTGTATCAGTGAACCATTTAGGAAATCTACTTCAGCGCATTAAATTTCTGTCTTTTCTTGTATCATACTACTCACTACCCTATGTTGGGACTGATTATTCACTCCAAAATTTATTCTTTGCTTTGACAGGTTGAAAATCAGGAGTTCGTTGTAGATCTTTGGAAAAAATCTCTAAATCCTCTAACTTGGACAGAAATATTAAGGCAAGTACTTTTAGCAGCTGGATTTGGTTCAAAGCAAGGTGCATTACGGAGGCAAAACCTTAGCAAGGTATCATTTTCCATCAATTTATGTTAATGTTTGATTAATTCTTTCTCCCCTATATTTCTTATTGTCTTTCGTCTTTTTTTTTTTTTTTTTTTTTGCATGTGAATTGTTGCATATGTGAATTTGATAAGTAGTAATTGTATAATATGGCAACATACTTTTCTTCATAGGAAATGAGAGTTATGTTGAAGTATGGCCTTACTCCTGGAACTTTGAAGGGTGAACTGTTCAGACTCCTATTTGAGGAAGGTAAAAACGGAGTAAATGTTTCCGAGTTGGCTAAGTCTGCACAGGTGAGTCCTTAAACTAGGCATTCAAAAATTTGAGTGGAAGGATATTTAAAATACTCTGTATTTTCTGAACTTTTTGACTGTTTATGCATTAACCAAGGAACTCATAACCTTCTTGCTCTTGATTTTGAAGGTTGCCGAACTAAATCTTGCCAGCACAAACGAAGAGCTGCAACTGTTGATAAGCTCAGCTCTCTCAAGTGACATTACTTTATTTGAAAAGATATCACTTGCTGCTTACCGTCTACGTGTTGGTACTCTCTTGAAGGAGGACGAGAGCTCTCATTCCAACAGTGAAGACTCGGGAAGCATTCATGATGACTTTGATGATGCTGCTGGCACGTGTAGCAGCAGTGACTCTGAGTGTGGCGCAGAAAATTCGAACCAGAGAAAGCTTCGGCATCTTAAGTGTCGTAAAAGTAAAAGTAACAAGCTGACAGTACACAATGAAATTGATGAGAGCCATCCTGGGGAAGCGTGGCTTTTAGGACTAATGGATGGTGAGTATTCTGATTTGAGCATTGACGAAAAGCTGGATGTCTTGATAGCTTTAATTGATCTAGTCAGTGCGGGATCCAGCATTAGATTGGAGGTAATGCTCATCACCTTCGGGATCATTTTATCAACTCTCTCGTCTCCCTTTTACAAAATGTTGTTAAAATCTCAATTCCGATTTTAAAACTCATGGCCATGAGTTTTAAAAACTTACAATTTTACCAAATTTTTTTCAAAGACAATGATTTTACTTGTACTATATTAGTATTTACTAGGATCTTACAATTCTAGGTAACACTTTATACCTTAATTAATCTAGGTAACAGTTTATACCTTAATTAGTATATTCTAGTTGTTCATAATTCTGCATTTTTTAATTTCTGCATTTAAAAATTGCATGATAAAGTTACATATCACTTATTATGACACATATCTGATAATCATTAAGTTGTTCTAAATGAAACTATTTTTTTTAATCTATGTGATTAATCACTACTCATTATAGGATATCAAATTCTTATGATTTCATTGTTCGATTTGCAATTATGATTTTTGCAGTATTTTTAAATATAGTGAAAGATCACGATCTTGGAAACGATGTATTCCTTCATTTTCATCCATCACTGATCATTTACGTTCCTCTTTCCTCTTCTAGGATCCCGTGAGACCTGCTCCTAACTTGCGACATTATGGGTCTGGAGCAAAAATAAAGAGATCATCATTACACAGGCCATCCTGGGTTCACGGAAAACAAATTTTTGACTCATGCTCATCGTCCAAGTCTCAGCCTGTTGATTCATCTATGTCGATATCTAACTTTAGCATAGAGGATATATCGTCTCGTGTGGGGAAAGATGGAAAGGAGACTGAATCTGTAGCTGATCTTCACCCTATGCAGTCTGTATTCTTGGGAGCCGATCGTCGGTACAATCAATATTGGCTTTTCTTGGGCCCTTGTGATTTTCATGATCCTGGTCACAAGAGGGTCTATTTTGAATCTTCCGAAGATGGCCATTGGAAAGTGATTGATACTGCAGAGGTAGTTGCTTTCTTTGTTTTTGGTGCTTGTGAATTGATGAAATCATGAGATCAATATCGAATATCTATCTGTAACTGTCTTTCGTTGTGACCTGGTTCAAATGCAGGCTTTACGTTCCTTATTATCAGTCTTAGACGGTAGGGGAAGGAGGGAAGCTCAACTTATTGAATCCTTGGAGAGACGGGAAACTTTTCTATGCAACGAAATGTTGAATGTGAGTAACGATGCTGCCAGCTGTCACTCATTACAATCATGGCAGACTGAGTTAACTGTCAGGGAAGACAGTTCTTCACCAATTTCTGGTCTAGAGGAGACAACCAACGACTCATTGTCGCCATGCAGCGCAATAGTGCTCGACGCAGAGAGAAATCTGGAAGAAGAAAGCACGAGACAGAATCGTCCACAGTTATTTGATTCATGGATATGGGATAATTTTTACCGTGGTCTCAATGCAGTGAAACATAGTAAAAGGTCATTTTATGAACATCTGGGTAGATGTCAGACGTGTCATGATTTGTACTGGAGGGATGAAAAGCATTGTAGGATTTGCCACATGACGTTTGAGGTTGATTTCGATCTTGAAGAGAAGTATGCGGTCCATACAGCCACGTGTAGACTGAAAGAAGAGCAAGAAAATGTCTCTACATTCAAAGTCTTGCCGTCAGTACTTCAGACGTTGAAAGCTGCTGTTCATGCGATTGAGGTACGTTGTCAGTTTGCCTGTTCAAATTTTCTGGATTTTTTGCCTCATTTTATATTTGGTACCATATAATTGATTGAATGTTATTTGTTCAAATTGCATGGTATTGTGTGAAGCGCATTTGTGATATCGTTGTTCAGTGTAGTTTATTTGTATAGAATAATTGTGCAAGAGAATTGAAGAACATAAATGTGGGGCATAATTTATAAAGTGTATTTTTCCCTTGATGCCCACGTGTATTTGAGATTTTGATTTGAAATACATCAAAAGTGCCAACGAGAAACAGTTTATTTGCTAAGTGCATGCTGTTGTATACATGTATTATCCTATGTACTTCTAAAGTTATTTGAACGAATTTGATTGACCTTCTGCTCCCTTTTTAACCGTTTCAATGCAGTCAGCGATGCCTGAAGGGGCCTTGGTGGGTGCTTGGACGAAGTCTGCTCATAGGCTGTGGGTTAAACGGCTAAGACGTACCTCTTCATTAACTGAGCTTTTGCAGGTTTGTTTCCCTGGCTCTCTTAGCTTCGCCTTTCTTCAATTATGCTTCAATAGTGTTTTATGGTTCTCAAGTCCACTCTTCTGATCTACTGAGATCTTTTCCAGGTCGTTACTGATTTCGTTGCTGCAATTAATGAGCATTGGCTGTGTCAAACCAGTGATGCTCCCGGTTTCAATCCTTTCGCAGAAGAAATTGTGGCATGTTTCTCAAGTATGCCTCAGACTTCATCTGCACTCGCCTTATGGTTGGTGAAATTGGACCACTTGATTTGGCAGCATTCAGAAAATACTCAACGTCTAGAGGACGAAACAACAATAGTGATCAGGTATTGTAATTTTCCTATTCCATCTTGTAGTCAGTGGTCATTTGAAGTAACAACTATGCGATCAGGCATTGCACCCGATGTCTAACGAATATGCTTTCTGTACTGGGTTTTTCAGGTAGCCAAACGCTCCCAATTACAGGCCCGAAAAATATCAATTTAATGTCAGAAACCATCTGTTTTTGGCAATCTCATACCGTTGTGCTAATCTCAGCTTTCCTGATACGTGTTTTTTGGCCATATCGGAAGCTTTACCGAATTTGTACAGAGCAGTGGCGTGATTCCATTAGGAAGAACTGCGTCTCTGTTAGAAACTGTTTGTTTGCTGTACTTAGGAAAGTTTGATTCACTACCACTGCTTAGGAAGATGTTATACCAGAACCATTTGCTGAGTTAGATGTATACGTGGTTAGGATATATTTTTTTTGTATAAATAGGGAGGGTTAGGTTCGCGACATTTCGAGAGATTATTGCAGCCAATCTGAGGAAGCAACCGAAATTTTGCTGCTGTAAATTTGAAAGCAGACTTCTTCAGTTGCCATCACTCTTGAAATAAGGATACGTCTATGATACGCTCTGAATTTAGGATGTACACCATGATGTTTGTCAACTTGATAATGTCCTTCATAAACTCTAGAGTTTAGATGATAATGTAACATTTGTAAACTCTTGACGAAACGTTCTTAATGAGAATTTTGCTTTCCGTATTGCTCCTGAACCAGAAGCAGGTTTCAGAACAAATGGGGACGAAGATGAAATTCCCATTGGTTTGAGATATGTGGAATGTGTTTGATTCTTCTCTATTCCCATGACCATGCAATAACCCTACCAAGAGTTCTAGAGCTCCAAATCATACTAAAGATATTTCAACACCGAAAACATATGGAGAAGCTTAGTCTTTATGCTGCTTGACCACCTCATGAACAGCTGAAAAATCAAGATCGCCCAATCCCATGCTTCTAGCCTTCTTGAAAGCCTGCATCGCAAAGAAACTAAGCCGTCAATAAACTACTGATATAAGCACGTGAATCAGTTGGCGAGCGATTTTATTCAGATTGATCAAGATTTTGGGGACACAATTATGTTTGACAGGGAGAGTTCTACTACGTTCGTGACCTTATCTTGCTACTCATCTCGAACTGGGTTACATCAGTGATTAGAGAACAGAAAGATGAATGAGAGGCTGTGGAGGAAAGAGAGAGAGGGAGAGCAGGGGTTTCAGATTTTTTCACCTCATTTGCTGCAGCAGCTATAGGCATTGACACAGCATTTTCATCTCCAAGTGCAAGAGCCAACCTCATGTCCTTCTGCTGATGTTTCAGTGGGAATGCAGGGGAGAAGTTGCTCTTGATCATGTTTGGTCCTTTACCTTTGAACATTGGGGTGGCAATGGCACCAAGATCCTGAATTAAAACAGCGTTGTTGTTAGTACATTGTAGGACACTGATGTCATGTTCAGTCTCATTTGCTAAGAAGGCCCAAGTTGGGAAAGGAGAAAAATACTCTCAGCGAATGGATGGTTTATATTACCAGCACATCAAGAAGGTCACTGGGGTTCAGTCCACTCCTATCTGCCAAGACAATCCCTTCCGAGAATGCGTTCATCATACTGCAAATGATCATTCCCCGAAATCGCCATATCGTGATCACATACTTGGCAAATGATTCGTTATGATATATACGCGACACATTGGACATATTTGACAATGCAAGCGGTAAATTTAAGTTCAAAGTATGAAAAACTTTTCTATGTGCAGACTCATCCTATTCTATTGCACACGACAGTCTGACATTAAAAGATTACTATATTGACGCATCTTAGGATTCAGAGATGTGGCTAAAGAAGAGCAATGTGCATACCTTCCCATGATCATGTTCACAACAAGTTTCATCCTCGCTCCATTCCCAATTGGCCCCAAGTAGAAAGACTTCTTCCCCATGGCATTGAAAGCTGGAATTGCTTCCTCATACAGTGCCTAGATTACCACCAATATGCAAAATCTTTCATGCCGAAACCCATAGAAGCAAGAATTTCTCATTCTAAATCAAGAATGGTGTCGAAATATTGAATTAACCTTGTCCCCAGCAGCAAGAATCACAAGCTGTGCAGCTTCTGCGGGTTGCTTGCTTCCTGACACAGGAGCCTCCACAAAAGAGCCGCCTTTAGATGTAATTGCCTGGAACCACAATAACCACACATTTATCAGCATTCGGAATTGTATCCAAATCATTAAAATCTAAGCAAGAGAAGCAACAAAAAAATCGTTGTTTACAAAACCTCACTGATCTTGGAAGAAGTCTCAGGATCAACAGTTGACATGTCCACATAACCTTTCCCACTGCTCATCTCCTCTAGTACACCATCTTTATCGAACACCACCTACACAACCCCAATCAAAACCTTCAGTATTGAGTCATTTTTATATGAAGGGATCGTACGAACCTTGTGATTTCGCGATCATGGTTTTTGACAATACACCGTCTTTCTTTTTCACGTACTACTATAAAAGTTCCAGAATACAACACCTTGGGAGTTTTTGCTCATTCGTTTCACATTTTAATCTCACAATAGCTCTAATATTTTACATATACTGAACAATAATCTACAACATTGGTTAGATATCGACCCCTAAGAAGAGCCATCATTCAACAACAGATGCTAGCTAGGGCCTTGGTTTATTGCTAATTTTTACTTGGTGCTAAAGGACACAGAGGTACAAGCCTATAAAACAGTTTGAGCTGAATGAAACTATAAAGACGATCAAACTTTGCTTCCTTGTACGACTACATAAGAACACAAAGAGAAAGGGAGAGAGAACTGACCGACAGAGCAGCTGCAGGATCAGACACCATAGCAATGGTGATCTTGCACTTCTTTACCACAGCAGCTGGTGTTTCTCCAACTGAAGCACCCATTTCCACCAATTCATCACACTGCCAACAGAATCATCCAATTCGAATCAATAACATAAATCAACACCAAAACAAAGCAATGAAGTTCTACCTAAAAAAAAAAAAACAAGCAATGAAGCCCACAAAATCAAAGACCCAAATTCTTTACCCTGGAAAGCGTCCTGTTCCAAACAGTGACCTTGAATCCCTTCTTTATCAAGTTCATCGACATAGCCTTCCCCATTATCCCCAAACCCAAGAACCCAATCTCCATTTCTCTGATTTCTGTTCACCCTGTTCCTCTCTTCCTTTTCCTCCCCAGTCGTCTTCACTCTCAAACCTCGACAGTTTCCTCTGTTACCACTGTACAAGAGAGAAAAAAAAAGGGATAATGAAAGCGAAACAAAACAAACACCTGTCGAGAAACAAGAGATTAAACGCTGCAGGTCACCGTCCTCCTCAGTCCTCACCATTAACGTCGAAAGGATTTTTGTACTTTCGTTCTCCCTTTTATGATTTCTTTCCCTCGGTAGTTGATTCTCTTTGTGCATTTGTTCGTTCGCTAGTGTTGAAGAGAGGGTATTGGTGGACTTGGGAGGGTGACGGACCAGTTACCTTACTCCACGTGGAAATGATTGATTATTATTTATTCCGATTTTGTGGGAGTTGGCCGCAGCCCGCAGATGCTCTCTCTGTGCCAGGCGAATCTCGGGAGCTCTCTGGCTTTCTTCACTGGCTAGCTGACAGGCCAGTAGATTGTTGCCACGTATTGTATGTCATTGAGATATTTTACACGTGCGCGTGGGCAGAATGTGGCTTTTTGAGCCGGAAACGAAGCCCATTTTATAATGGACAATGTAACTTTTTAAGAGCCCAAAATACTACTTCGGTAATCAAGCCCGCTATAAGGGCCCAAAAGAGTATTTTCGTTCCAATTGAATTGCCGCATCCAGACGAAATACCCACTTCGCAGACGTTCATGGCGCCATTGCCAGCAACCAAAAGACAAACCTTTTCCAAAATCCCTCAAACCCCAAACCTCTAGACCCCCAAAAAGGATGAAGGGAAGAAAGGAGAAATGCCCTTCCCGCCGCTGAAGTTGCAGAAGAAGAAGAACAAAAAGTCGTAGCAGTAGCAGATATGGAGAACCTATTCAGCGAAGTTGAAACCGAGGAAATCAGGGAGTCAATGTTGGAATGGTACGATTGTAATCACAGGGAGCTTCCATGGAGAAGGAAAGAGAAGGGATCTGGTGAACGAATCGGTGGGGAAGGAGAGAAGGAGAAGAGGGCGTATGGGGTTTGAGTTTCTGAAGTCATGCTGCAGCAGACTAGAGTTCAGACGCTTATTGATTACTATAATCGGTGGATGGCTAATTGGCCTACGGTTGAGCTTCTAGCTCAAGCTTCTCTCGAAGGTAAAATGGGTGAAATTTCGAGTGGGTGGTGTTTTTGATACGTTGGTTTGAGAACCTCACGTTATTTGAAAGGACAATTCGATTTTTTGAATTGCTTGTGCAGGAGGTTAATGAGATGTGGGCGGGTCTGGGTTATTACAGGCGGGCACGGTTTCTATTGCAGGTGAGCTTTTGCTTCACTTGTTTTTGTTTCCTCTGCTAAAATGGCTTTCTTTTGGCTAGGCGTTTTCGTAGGGACCTTGCAACTCAAGTTTTGCTCTTGAAATGAGCAGACTTTATTGCTCTGATATGAAGGATGAGAGAACTTGTGGCTCTTTTGGTTTTTCATGCACTCAATTAGCTTCCCGGCCATGCAAATGGAATCATGGAAACAGTAGCTCTTTTTTTTTTTTTCTTCTTTCTTCTCTTGTGGGCAGAAGCTTGTATCTTGGTTCATAGTTGAGGATTTGTTGTTATGCCAAGAAGAGAAATTTATAGCTCAAATTTGGGGTTACTTGTTTGGGAGCCAAGATGATTGTTGATTAAGGAGATGGATTTCCCAGCACAGTTGCTTCCCGAGGAAGGTTCCTGGAATAGGAAACTACACTGCTGGTGCAATTGCCTCCATAGCATTCAATGAAGTAGTATTTTGCATTTCTTTTCTTGCTTTGTAATTTCAGGCTGTGCCTGTAGTTGATGGCAATGTGATAAGGGTGCTTGCTAGGTTGAGAGCAATTTCCGCAAAGCCTAAGGATGCAGCAACGATGAAGACCTTTTGGTTAGGAAAAGTTTCTCTGTTTCTTTCTCTACTTGTCTTTCCTATCAGGCTTTCTTTCTCTGTGTGAAACTAGTGATTGTTAGAGTGGGTGTTTGTTGGGAAGGCATGCATTTCTATCCGACTTTCTCATGCAAGTTTGTATTGAACCAGGAAGCTAGCAGGTCAATTAGTGGACGCTCATCGTCTTGGAGACTTCAACCAGTCTCTCATGGAACTTGGTGCTACTGTCTGCACCCCATTGAATCCCAGCTGCTCTTCCTGTGTCCTGTTTCTAGCCGTTGCAGAGCTCTTATAACCTCGAAGCAGGACAATCCAATCCTAGTAAGCAGGACAAGTCATGGATCCATTTCTGAAGAAATCATTTGGACTTGATCCAAAAAGGAGTTATAAGGTTATTGAAAGGGAAGATGTAGGAAAATTTGTGCATATATTCAATCACATTCGCCTGAAGGTTTACGTGGGATTGTTAGTTATACAGCTTAGAGGTCTGAATATCTTGCCTAATTAAATTTCAAAGCTCCAAACTTTCCTCATTTGGTAGCTGCAAATTTCTCTTTTCTGATAATTCTGTTACTCTAATCTGAAGGTGAGATTTCTGACATACTTCCCGAGGAAAAGAAAGAAGTTCCCTGGAAGTGTGTGGAAGGAAAGGCACTTGCAAGTTTGGATTTGACACCTGGAGTGAAGAAGGTAACTAACAAGTATGTCATTTGGAAACACATGCTTCATGAGCATATGTTCACGAGTTATGACTTCTGGGTGACCTTCCTGGAACTTTGTGTTCTTGAGTCCAGGTCTACTTGATGGTTCAGAAGCTCAAGCAAAGTAAGATCGCCAGGAATTCCCCATCCGAAAGGAAATTGAAGAAGCCAAGAAAATGACACCAAACTAGTGAAACCCTCATATGTTTGAATACAAGTGCTAGTGGTCCTGGTCCATGCTTTGTCGAGGGGACAATGATAAAGCCCAATACGTCCTTAGAAGCAATGTATGTGAACTTGTGCAACCGTACATCAGCGATAGCAATGACCAGAAGCGACCTTGTCGTAGCAGAGTTCACTATGCGAAGGTGATCCGGACACTAAATGTGGATTAAGAGGCAGCTACTGGAGCATTTTGATTCAATCTTTGGAGGTCTCAGCCAAGGGGCTTGGAAGAGGCTCCATTTGATGCTTGGCAGCTTGACATGTATGCTCTCAGCAGTAGCATTCCTTGCTGCCTCTTTTGGGGTTACTTTGTACTCTTCTGTACACCTTTGTAAGTTATTTTGGGAGTTGATGGCAACGCAGGAAGTTTCGAAGGGAATTTTTTTTGTAGCATTATATTGATGCTAATTGTTATACCAACTTTATCTTGTTGTAGCTTATCCTTAGTTTACTGCCGTGGAGTATTAAGTAGAAGGTTTGGTTACTAAGTGGTGGTTGTAATACAAAGCAAAGGGACAAAGGTTGAGTGACAGTGATGGGCAGCAGATGTTGGACCAAGGCTTTGAAATTTTCTTTATTTTTCTCAGCCAAAAGTTACCCACAATTTTGGGGGGAAATACCCAAAAGAAACCAGTGGCATATATTGTGCCTAGCAGTTTGTGGATTAGAAGACCCTGTTTTCCTCTCTACATTCCTTCACTGCTGCTCTTCCAGCTTCTGCAATCAGCCCTCTTTCACCCTGCTTATGTGAATTGTGAAACTTGAGCCATTGTTGAAGAAAGAAGAAAATATACAAGAAATCAGGCATCACCTACAGCTTCATTACGGACTATTGAATCCGTTCTATATCATGGCAAGTGCAGGTAGAGCAATGGGGATTTCGAGCTTCCCTTCATCTCCATCATCTTTCATGAAGAATACCAGAACAACTTCTTTGTCATCCACCATTGTTCCTGTGGTACGCAAGTTTCAATATATACTGAAGTTTCTTTTGATTTTCATAATTCGTTGGGATGATGTGTTCAAGTTTGTGCAGCAGATGGTTACCAAGTTGATGAGATTGAGAAGAACAACCATCATCACCTGCTGCTCAACAGTGCAAGAATCATCCACCTCTACTTCTTCGATAGGTAAAAAGTCAAAGTTTACTGCCATGAAATCTGAAGACCCCAAAGAAGCAGTAATGTTTCATTTCAAAGGGTTCGTCCATTTCACTTTGGCTTGTGGCTTCCTTGATTAGTTGCTGAAGGTGGGAAAGAGGAAGTGAAACCAGTTGAAGTAGAAGCCCCAGCAAAGCCAAAGCCAAAACCAGCAGCTAAAGCTCCTATGAAGCCATTGCCTCAGATGATGGAAGAGGATGTTATCCCTTCACTGAAATCAACACTTGAAGTGCAAGATGACATCTCTGAACTTCAACTATCCTTCCAAGACAACACAGTAACTTTCAAGCCTACTAACTCATATGGCATACCCAAATTCTCTGGATCAGGATTTGGTTAACATTTTTTCTTCTGGTTTCACTTTCTTTTGCAGTTGGAAGGTTCATTTGTGAAACAGAGCATTCCATATTCTTTCTGGGCCTTTTTCCCTGATGGAGTCCTCACAGGTACCCTTTTCTCCTCCTATTCAAGTTGTATTTGAACAAATTCCTCCACTTTCCTTTGAACAACACAAAAGTCCAACTTGATGCTCATTCCTACTTGTTGCAGGTGCAAGGGGGTTTTCCATATCCTCTTATGGCCAAGGAGCCAGCACTGTTGAGCCATTTCTGATTGATGAGAAGAAAATCACACCCAGACATGTCGTGTTTTGGGTGGAAAAGCGTTTGGCAGCTCAAGGAATCATTCCAGTCTGGAAATAACAGATGTAAATGACTGTCTAGTTCCATTCATCCATCAGAATCATGTAATATAGATGCAAGCCTGACAATGAAGGAAAGGATCTTTACCCACTACCCTTCTGTTCTAAGGTAAATTAATAGTTCCACCAGCTGTATTAGGGCAACCAACCATACCAGCTACAAACAAAGTGCTAGGGCCAACAAATACAGATGGAACTCTTTCTGTTCATATAAATAACAGAACATGAGGCTTTAACATGGTTCTGCAGGTAACATGTATACACCAAACCAACCATAGTTCTGAAGCATCCATCCATCACTATCTTTTCTATATAAGTTTACCCACAAGGGATTCTACAAAGTACATAAGACAGGTACAAAGTTGGGTTACAAGGGATTCACTCAGTCAGGAGAGACAATCTTAGATGTTAGAACCAGTATTAGCATTGTGCATTGCTCGGCGAAGTTCACTTAAGAAGTCCATCTGGGAACCAGAAGATCCTGCACTATTTGCTGCAGGCATCATCTGCAAAGCCAAATCCATGTCACACTTCATGAGTGAGAGAGAGGGGGGCAGGCTGGGAAGTGGGATATTTTTACCTGATGTGGAAGTTTAAACTGGCCCCATGCTGATACACCACCTGAGTAGAGAACTGGTCTTTCTGGAAAAGGAACTAGAGCACAGTTATTCATCAAGCCAGGGGTAAAATACAAGCAGATTGATAACGAAGAAGTTTGCTTTCTGCAACAGAAGGGATGAAATATTAATTTTTATATTAGTTATGGCAGTCTGAGTAAGTAACAGGCTTTGAACTGGGATTTTAGAACCGAGTAGTCTACAAATTCAATTGAAAGCATATAGACATTGAACAGAAAGTGACGGCTCATTTACTTCAGACAACATTCACCAAAACACATTCAAGCATTTATAACCACTTTCATGAAATCTGATAACATACTTCAAAAACGGAGTAACTCCATTTGCCATGATATTGAAATATGAGATCAGGGAAGAAGAAATGACCGAGGAATGCTCAAAGCAGAAAATCTAGTATTATGCAACACCAACAGCATTGAGTTACATGGGTATTTCAATATGATGGCTGCAGTTGACATGCACTTCATATAGATCTTCAAAGGAAATTGAATAGTTTGTTTAAGCAAGAAAAGACTAGGTAAAAGGCAAAGGCCTATTGGAGCAAACTTTCAGATTGATTCTCTACTGACCAGATAAATCTATAGAAGGATCATTGTAGATATGCATCACTGTTGCCCAACCTGCAGTTAAAGAAATAATGGTTAAGACTAGTCTGATGGCATCAATATCACAGCATAACAGGTGCTATAATAAATGCAGTATAAAATAAACTAAAAGGGAAAGCTTGCTCAATTAACCTACAAAATCCATCGCAATATTCTGGAACAGTCCTCTTTCAATTATAAAGAATCAAGCTTTTCAAAAGCCAACCAGAAGCAAGATAGAACAACTACGTGCAATATGTACACCAATCTCAATTAGTTTGATTAGTGCTCAAATTCTATCTTATGTTGAAATGACAGAAGCCAACTGTTTCTTAGGCATCAAACATTCACCTTTAAGTAACTCTTGAAGAAACCAATGGAACAGAACAAGTTGATAATAATTTCCAGAAACAATCAACAGAAACCGCAGAACAAAGAGATGGGTGAAGAAAAACCACTTTGTTACTTCTAAATCCAAAACTATTATCGTGGTTATTTGGTCAATGCACAGGATAAGGAATCTGTTTGCAGAGAGTGGTAAAGTAACATAAACTCAAATGATTACATAGCAGGAGCAGGATATATATTACGCAATAGGCCACATGTAGAACATACGATCATTTAAGAGCTGAGAAGCATCACTGTGACAGCACCCTTCTAAAGCTACTAAAGTACGCCGTGAGTGTCCCTTCTGAAGAGTGTGAATTCCAGCATCCCCTTGATCTACGCCCAGGATATTTCTTGAAGGCGGAATTGTTTGAATCTTGTCTCCATCATTTCCATAAAGACTGCTAAAGCGGTCGATTCGATCTGCAATGGGGAAAACTTAATCTTCATTCAATACCATCATACAACACCATCTTATACATTTCCAATTAAAGTATTATACAATCTTAGCCTTGCCAAAGTTCACCCAAGAAGGATTGATGTGACGGAATTCACTATATATCACCCAATCTATACCTGTTGCCAACTGGCAAACAAGTTCCAACTAGAATCTACGCAGCAGAATCATATACTGTTATCTACTGGCAAACTAGATCTAACAAAGCTTTGAACAGTAATGAGGCAGAGCCAAATGCAAAAAGGTCCTCCACTAGGCACAAAAAGGCTATTGATGGGGCAAGAAACAAAGCAGCCAAAGAAGATGACCGGCCTGAAAACAAGCCACGTAACAACTATGGGAATCCTCTATCCTCCCAGGAAAAAGAAAAACTAATCCCAGAAGCACAGATGACTAGAAGTACTAGAAAGACAATCTCCATGCTGAACTTAGGCATGCTATGACATTCACCCGCATAATCGATTTTAGCATGCACCATTAGCCTACGAATTGGTGCATACATTGTATGCTCCGAGTTCGCAAAGCTGACATATAATTATAAAGGTTGCAACTTTCCTAGTAACCCGACACCATGCTTGACAATCTACCAAACCAGTATCATATCTACTTGTTTTCTGAATTCCCGCTGTCATTCTAGAAATGTAAAGCAAAACCACCGAACCAGATTAACTTTAACGAAATCCAAAGAAGGGAAAAGGAAGAAAAGGCCAGCATGATAGAACGCCATAATTTCAAGATGAAAATGTGAATAGTAATAGCTGACCTCCTGATTTGCGTCTATTGAGAGGCCGGTTCCTGCAAAGATTCAACGCAGCAGCAAACAAAGCAAAAGGGTCACCAATTTCGATTGAGGGGTAAATCTTAACTCGGGAATTGTAGCAGGAGGAGAAGGCGAGAATGACAAACCTTTGATTGGGAGGAGCATATTTCTTGACGATGGTGGCGGAGGAATCGGCGGGAGTTGCTGCAGGCGTAGGGTTTTCCAGCATCCTCTCTATTTCTATCTTTCTGCGCCTTGGTTTCAACTCCCTTTCTTCCTTCAGGTCGCCTCTAGTCGGAGAGTCTGCCGCCGCCACCGCCGGAAGAAAGAGAGAATGGCCGGATCCAGACGACTTCGCTTCGCTTCTTCGTCAGCTTTCCGCGGCCCTCTTTTCTAACGCTCGCGCTCGCTTGGACCAATCATTTTTTTCTTATGTACGTTAATTGTATTTTGAGATCCCTATAGATTTTCATGTGTTCGATTTAGCCCCAAATATAAAATTGAGTCCAACTTGGTACATTGTTATGATGAACTAGGGGATGATTAATCATATATATTATTTATAAATAACCATCCACATCAATAGTATTTGGTATGTTTTCGTAAATCTTATATAACACTTAATATGCAACTGCAAAAGTAATGCATCAATATAATTGGCACTTGCAAAAATGTAAGTTTGCATTTGATGAAATTTAAGATACAAAACGTTAGGGATGGCAATTTGAACTAGCTCTGCCGGGTATTACCCGACCTGCAATAGCATGGGACGGGGCATGGATATCTATTTCCGACCCACCCTGACCCGCCCTGTCCCGCTCTTGACCCATTTTATATCGATTTCCATATTTCTTCTGTTTTGACTTTTCTTCAACCATTAGACCCGATCTTTCAATTAGTTGGGTTAATTGCATGGTTGGTCACTGAGATTACAAAAAATGTTCATGTTTGGTCACTGAAAATATTTAAATCCAATCTTGGTCACTTAAATTAGTTAAATGGTTCAAGTTTGGTCACTCTCCGTCCAACTTCATTAAATTTGTTTGATGTGGCAGTCAACCCTCAAAGTTGATTGTTAACTCAGTGACGTGGCAATTAAAAAATAATAAATAAAATAAATTTTAATCTTCTACCATTTTCAACTCATTTTCACAATAAAGTAAAATAAGAAAAAAAAATTAATACACGACAATTAATCACTAGCCTTCCCAACCATATTCACCAATCACTACGGCTGCCAGTTCTTTGGATCCAGCAACCAGCAATCATCTTCAATTCTTATCTGGGTTAATGACACATTTGGTCACTGTGATTACTAAATTTCCCATGTTTAGTCACTAAAAAAAGTTAATATCAAATTTGGTCACTCTAATTACTAAAACAGGTCATGTTTAGTCACTCTCCGTTAGTTTCCGTCCAACTCTGTTAATGTTGACCGTTATGTGCTGACGTGGCTAACGGGAGTGCCTAGTCAGCGTCATTTTGACCCGGAAATGGTCAAACCCGACCCGCCACATCACTAAACCAGCCATGTCATACATCCAACCCAACCCATTAACCCAACCCAACCCATTACCAAACCCAAGCCCGTCACCACCACTAACATACCTACCTGCCATCCCACAACTCCAACCACCGTCCTCCGGCGACCACCACTCCCCGTCTCAAGTCTCGCTCCTTCTCCAGCCCAGTCTTGCATTGTCGTACATCTTCTTCCTCCAATCTCGGTACTAGTACCACAACCGCAACATCAGAAGACAGCCATGCCCTCCATTGCATAACCACGCAGAATACTCCCAAGGCCACCACGGCGAAGCTCACTACGGCTAGCTCGAAGCCCAACCACAACTCCAATCCTCCCTCTCCTTGATATCCTCTTAGTTTATGTCTCTTCAAGGAAAGCTTCAAGTTCAGAGTAAGCCCCTTCTTTTTTCTCCTTTTGATTTGATTGAAATTCTTGTGACCGGGATTTGGAATTGAGGAGAAGGTTTGTAATGGTGGAATCTCCATCGCTATCCACAAGAATCTCCATCTTGACGCTGCCAACAACAATGTCAAGCCTAAAATTGAGGAGAAGAGGGCTGTAATGGTGGAATCTTCGCCAGAGCCGTAAAGCAGGATTCGTCGCCGCCGCTTCAGCAACAGCCATTGACGCCTAAACTGTCCGACTTGAGGTCTTACGATGATGACGAGCCGCGATGGGGGAATCGATTTAGGGTTTCGTCCACTACAGCCGGCGCGCGATGGGGGAAGCTAACGAAGGTGGATTTGAGGGTTTTGTTGTCTGCTGCGATGGGGGAAACTAACGGCGGCCCGTGATGAAGAAGAAGAAAACAATGCTACTTCGAAGAAGGATCCGGGACAAGGGGATCAAGGGGGTAGCATGGAGCTCTTCATCTCTCCCTGGAGTTCAATCGAAAATGGTTGTACCTAGAGGAAAGAGCAGAGCTTCGAGAGGAAGGAGATAGGTTTTTGGTCAGAAAATTGAACTTTTCAATTTTGTTTTGTTAGGTGTGCTAGGGTTTGGTTATGGGTGGGGTTTGGGTGTATGACATGGCGGAATTAGCGGAATTAGTGATGTGGCAGGTTGGGTTTGATCATTTTTGGGTCAAAATGGCGCTGACTAGGCACTCCCGTTAGCCACGTCAGCACATAACGGTCAACATTAACAGAGTTGGACGGAAACTAACGGAGAGTGACTAAACATGACCTGTTTTAGTAATTAGAGTGACCAAATTTGATATTAACTTTTTTTAGTGACTAAACATGGGACAATTTAGTAATCACAGTGACCAAATGTGTCATTAACCCATTCTTATCTTCTCTTTTATTTCTTCCCATACCTACACATCTACAGCACGTGCTAGCTATTATGATTTACTCAATTGTTCTTCTGCTGTATAAATATAGGATCAATCACTTGTAATAAGATTAAGAGAGAAACAATCCATTCAATAGAAATCAATCTATACAAATTTCTACACCGCGCTCTCCGCCTTTCTGGACCACTTACGTCGGAGCTGGGCAAGTTAAAGAGCTTGAAATCCATGGATTTGTCCAACAACATGCTCCAAGGGGAGATTCCACCAGCTTTCGCTGAACTCAAGAACTTGACTCTCCTCAATCTCTTCAGAAACAAGCTCCATGGCGCCATTCCGGAGTTCATCAGCGAGATGCCGCAGCTTGAGGTGTTGCAACTCTGGGAGAATAACTTCACCAAAAACATTCCTCAAGGTTTGGGTAGTAACGGAAGGCTCTCGATTCTGGGTCTTTCTTCCAACAAGCTCACTGGAATTCTGCCTCCCGATCTCTGTACTGGTAATCACTTATAGACTCTGATTACTCTCAGCAACTTCCTCTTCGGGCCGATCCCGGAATCGCTAAGTCAAATTTGAATGTTGAAAATTTCTTGAACGGATCCATACCAAGCCATCTCTTAGGGTTATCGGAGCTTACCCAAGTGGAGCTTCAATACAATCTATTGACCGGAGAGTTTCACTTTACTAGGCTGTAGCCATGAATCTTGGCCAAATCAGTCTCTCCAACAATGAGCTCTATGGGCCATTGCCTCCGACTATCGGCAACTTCTCTGGTGTTCGGAAGTTGCTTCTCGACGGGAATCAATTCACGGGTTCAATCCCTTTAGAGATCGGAAAGCTACAGCAGTTTCGAAGATGGATTTCAGTCACAACAAGTTATCAGAGCCAATCACACATGAGATCAGTCAATGCAAGCTGTTGACGTTCAGGATTACAGCGATCAGGATCTTGAACTACCTGAATGTATCGAGAAACAATCTCATCGGTAGCATTCCTCCACCCATTTCCACTATGCAGAGCTTAACATCTGTTGATTTCTCTTACAACAATCTCTCTGGTTTAGTCCCTGGTACTGGCCAGTTTAGCTACTTTAACTACACTTCCTTTCTGGGTAATCCAGATATCTGCGGTCTTACTTGCGTCCTTGCAAAGATGGGGTCCTTGTAACTATAATAATTTTTTTTGTTTTATTTATTTTACTTTATTGTGAAAATGAGTTGAAAATGATTAGAAGATTAAAATTTATTTTATTTATTATTTTTTAATTGCCATGTCACTGAGTTAACGGTCAACTTTGAGAGTTGACTGCCACATTAGACAAATTTAACGGAGTTGGACGGAGAGTGACCAAACTTGAACCATTTAACTAATTTAAGTGACCAAAATTGGATTTAATATTTTCAGTGACCAAACATGAACGTTTTTTGTAATCTCAGTGACCAACCATGCAATTAACCCCAATTAGTTAGACTCAATTATCTATTATATTACCATTATTTTTTCATTCATAAAGTGTACTTCTTTTTATTTTATCGTAAAAAAGTAAAATTGTGTGTGTAATTTTTTCAAATAACATGTAAGGATGGGTTGCCCCACCTCGCCTGTACACGCGTGGGTATTATCCGACCCGTAGTAGCATAGGGCGGCCATGGCCGCATGGGTAATGAGGTACCCGCCCCGTCCCATTGCCATCACTACAAACAGCATAGGAAAATTGAAAGTTTTTATTTACAAAATAAGCCATGAATTTGTCATTGATTGTTTAACTATTTTTTTGAAGAGGGTATGCTATTAGTATGGATGAAACATCAGTTATTGATGAATTCACTAAATTAAAAGATCGTCATATTCAATTGACATTGTAAAGAAAACTATGATTATTATATATTATTTCTAAGGTATCTAATTTTTTAATAAAATACGGTCCAGTACTCTACTATACTCTGAATCCGCCGCTAATGTTTACCCATAATTATACAATCACTTTGAAGATTAATCAATTTTTCAAACCATTATTACAAAGTTACAATACATATGAACAGAGTTAGGACTTACAAAAACAGGAAATTACAACTAATCTCTGAAGGGAACAAATTGAAAGTTTCAAGTACTTTGAGGGGATATCATTGTTTGCGCAGTACCATTAGTTAGAGGCATAAAGCTGTATGTTTTTTATTCTCAGCAATACCTACCAACCTTGTTCATTTCCCCCAAACATAGGAAAATTTATCATTAAGATAAGAATAGCTTTGAAATTCATTCCCAAACTATCAATCTGATCGAAAGAAACCACCTAACTTCTCATTCATTGAGCCACCAAAACCAGATTATGATCAAACCCAGCAACAGCCTGCAAAACTTCACAACCTTCCAAGCTATCAACAACAGCTGGTTCTTGTTCATCGTAAGGGCTCCCCAACCCAAGCCTGCCATTCTTGCCACTTCCCCAAACCCACAGCTCGCCTCCAGATGTCAAAGCCATGGAATGAACTCGCCCCGCAGACACCGACAAAGGTTGCATCTCCTCCGACAGTGCCTCAACCGGTAATGGTTTGTGCTCAGTTCCCATTCTTCCAAGCTGCGAGCTTCTGTTCCAACCCCATGAGAAGATGCTGCTGTTGGAAGATGAAGTTTCATGGCAGATTGCTAGAGAATGGCCAAGGCCTGCTGCTATGAATGAGGCGTGGAGAAGTTCCATGTCGGCTGGAAAGAATCCCATGTCTGGATTTGATCGACCCAACTGACCATATGTGTTGCTTCCAGAGGTTAACAGCCTGCCATCGCCTGAAAAGTTTTGAGAGTCAGAGAACTATTCAGCAGAAATTTCATGCTCGAAGACGCAATAATTCAGTGGCCCCAAAAGTTTTAGTGACAGATTTATGTAATTGACCACAGAGCAGACACTAGTTACTTACTGCTAATAACCAAGGAATGATCAAGCCCACAAGCAACTTCTGCAACTTGGGTTCCATTCAATTCTTCGACTAAACAAGGCTCCCATACTATTGGCATTTCCTTCTCCTTTTCCATTCCTTCCAAAACTCGCTTTTCAGCAGCTTCAAATCGGTCACCTTTGACACTATCTCCGCCTGAATCCAACACGGACGCCTCCACAAGTCCACCAATCGTTCCTATCCTTCCGTCTGCCGAATAGCCCCAGGCGTATAGCTTGCCATCCTCGGTTCGTGCGAGAGCATGCCCCCATCCGAACGAGACCTAAGGAAACACCATTCCCAGTAGCAGAAAGTAGGAAAAGTTTCATGCAAATTATGGAGATTCATCAGTATAGGATATGAGCATATTCAAGAGGATATCTACCTTCCAACTTCTACCTTAACTATCTTTTCTCCAGCAAAGCTTGGAACCCTAGAAGGGACTACTGCCTCTGTGATTCCAGGACCCAAACCAAGCTGCCCTCTCTTGGACTTTCCCCATACCCACAAAGAGCCGTCAACTCCGATGGCGGCAGAGATCACTCCTGACGCAAATGCAGCTGCAACGTGGACTTGATCCAAGCTCTGCACTCTCTTAGGTTCGTGCCAAGTGTCTCTAGTTCACATTCCAAGTCTCAAAATCAATAGCTCGTCTACCAAATTTGACTATGAAATGAAAGCTTTTTAGCCTCTAACCCTCACCCAACTCTCAGAGGAATAAAATCGAACACCTGATGATCACTCGCACAACATTTCTCCTCTTCCCCAAATCACAGCCAGTTCGTCGAATCCCATTACAATTCAACCACTGGGTTCCTAAACTAAAACCGGAAAACAGCCAGGGAAAGATTAAATTTCGTCCAAACCTGGGCGCAAGAATGCCACGGCCAAGCTGCCCTTCTTCGTTCCGGCCCCATGCCCAGAGCTCTCCACGTGAAGTGACCGCTAGCGAGTGGTAGTGGCCAGCGCTAACGGCTGTGACATTGGATGGAAGCCCCGGGACCAGCGTCGGCTCGTAAACATCGGCTCCGACGCCTGTAAGCGAAGGTGGTAAACCCAGAGCACCATGGCTGCCGTCGCCGAAGCTCATCACTACCCCGCAGCGCGCATCACCATGGTTGGATCTCGTGGATGCGAAGCGAGCAGCCAGCTTGAGAAGACTCCGCTCATTATTCAAGATGGGGCTGATTCGTCGCAGCATCTTGTTCTGCTTTTTGCTTCCACGTTTCTTTTCTTGGGTAAATTTGGTTCCACGTTTCTGGCCAAATGAGCGCGCGCGGAGCTCACAGTCACCGCCATGGCGGTAGATCGACATATACTTTCCATTTTTCCTCTTACCTTTTGTATTTATGGGCTTTGTTGTTGGGCTGGCTCACTTGCCAACAGAAGAAGAGAAAGTATACTGTGAGGGATTGTCCAGCATTGCCCAGGCCCAATTTCGGTGGTTCCACTTCCACCCTGGATTCTCCCAAAATTCTCCGTGTTTACTCGGGAAAAACGGCTCATGAGCAGCTCGATGTTTAACTCGGGAAAAACTCGCTTGAGTGAACAATTCAAATTTGAACTCAACCTTTTCAACTCGCTCGGCTTGTGAGCTACCTCGATTCGGTGGCTTATTGAGTTCAACTCATGAGCTAGCTCGTTTTGAGCTATGAGTTGGACTCGACGATATGTCAATGAGCAACCTCAACTAGTAGAGCTCACGAGTTCATTAATGAGCCGAGCTCGAGTCAAACACAAGCCAATGACTGAGTCAACAAATCAAGCTCGGACTGGACTCGTATATTAACTAGTCAAACTCAAGTAAAGTCAAAACTCAGCTCAACTCAGACTCATTTGCAACCCTTGTCGCCACTGAGCCCAATTCCTTGAACGTGGAGTTTTGGCATAATCCAGTGTTGGAATGGTAACGAGATTATTTTGATACTAGTAACAACTTATAACGACTATAAACTATATGGTACGGTGACGATAAAATATTATTTACAATTAGAAAAAGGTTGAGCAAATCATATCAAAATCTTTACCAACTTGATCTCTCATACATTATTGAAATCAAACGATTATCGAAAGACGACCAAGTAGACTATGATTTTGCCTAATTGCAACAAAAATGAAAATACAACTTTAAAACGGGCAAGGTCTTAAAACCAGCTATTACCCAGTTCTGTATTTTCCCACAAGGCCCCAAAGAAGCCTATCAACGGCCAGGTATAGATATTGGCAATCTGGAGGAGATTTTTCTTCGAGCTGAGGGTGGCAACACATTGAATTAGAATGGTTGAGAGAAAGCCATGTGTCAAAGGAGCTTCTGTTGCGAATCAGACTATGCTGACAATATCCAATTATCCTGGCAACCAATCCACCTGTTCAACTCTTGTTGGATACCCAGATCCTAACCTAATCTTGAAAGAGGAGGTAGGCCATCTCTTGATTCCAGCCAAGACTTCATGCCACTAAGTAGTGGATGTTTCAGCTTTTGTCCAGCCAAGCTTAGTTATTCCCCCTCGTCCTCAAATTCTCTTCTTTCTTCTTTCTCAGGGGGAACACACAACTTCCTGCTATACTAGTTCACCTCTGAAAGGGCAGCAATGGCGGCACAGGCTCTGGTGTCATCCTCCCTCACTTCTTCGGTGGAGAGTGCCAGGCAAATCCTGGGATCAAGGTCTAGCCAGCCTTCATTTGGGTCCTCAAGGAAAGGATCCTTTGTTGTAAGGGCGGCTTCTACTCCCCCTGTCAAGGTCAGTCAGTCTTCCCCCCTGAAATTACAAGTTTAAAACTAGATTAAAGTCGTATTAACTCAAACTAGACAACATCAACCAAACTAAGTACAAAGAAACATAATTCTAAAACATGTTAAGGCTAGAACTGTCTAATCAGCTTCGGTTTGTGGGTACCGGGGTGTTCTTCCTAACGAGATTCTTATGTTTGATTATCAGCAAGGAGCTGACAGACAACTATGGTTTGCATCGAAACAGAGTCTCTCTTACCTTGACGGAAGGTAAGATTCTCCTTGTACCAAATTTATTTAATCATGTTATAAACTGAGATGGTGACCAACATTCACTAACCTGGGAAATATTGTGCGTCATTCCCTGCAGCCTCCCAGGTGACTTTGGATTTGACCCACTCGGTCTCTCGGACCCCGAGGGAACTGGAGGCTTCATCGAGCCGAAATGGCTAGCCTATGGTGAGATCATCAACGGACGATTCGCCATGTTGGGAGCTGCAGGTGCCATTGCCCCCGAAATATTGGGCAAAGCCGGCCTGATTCCAGCCGAGACTGCCCTCCCATGGTTCCAAACTGGGGTCATCCCACCAGCCGGAACATACAGCTACTGGGCAGACCCATACACTCTCTTTGTCTTGGAGATGGCCCTGATGGGGTTCGCCGAGCACAGGAGACTCCAGGACTGGTATAATCCTGGATCGATGGGGAAGCAGTACTTCTTGGGATTCGAGAAGTTTTTGGGTGGCTCGGGCGACCCTGCTTACCCTGGAGGACCTATCTTCAACCCTCTAGGGTTCGGGAAAGATGAGAAGTCGATGAAGGAGTTGAAGCTGAAGGAGGTGAAGAATGGCAGGTTGGCCATGTTGGCCGTCTTGGGTTACTTTATACAGGGTCTTGTGACTGGTGTTGGACCGTACCAGAATCTGCTTGACCACTTGGCTGATCCTGTCAACAACAATATATTGACTAGCCTCAAGTTCCACTAGAATGAAACCCCTTTTGGCCTTAATCATTTGATTCCCTATTCCCTTTGTAACCATGTTGTGAAAAGAATGAACTGCTACTATAATTTTCTGTAAGACTTGGTGGTTGTTAAGGATTAAGATAGAACCTGTTTAATTGCCACTGTCTTCGTGCCTGTCTAACTGTGCTGCTTTACGATGTGAGACATCTTCCATCACCTCCTCCGGGAATAGTAGGATGGCAACCGTAGACGGTTCTGCCACTCCCAATGCTAACTATATACCTGCAGCTTCTACAATGGCAATTGATAGAAGGAAAAGGTGGGTCACCTTGACCAACTCGGCACAAAGTCAAGTATACGAGATTCAGAGAGAATGATTTATTGAATGAGCCTCAGGTTAGGCAAAACTCATCTCTGGGAATTAAAGAGAGTTCTTTTGTCAATTCATGCTAACAAATGTATCGAAAATTGTACAAAATTGCTTCCATTCTCCAAGTTGATCTGACTGTAAGGAAAGGAAACTATTATAACTCATTAGCTAACAAAGAGAAATAGGTCTTCAACTGTAGAGCTCTTCCCCTAACAAACTAAAGTGATGGGGGCACTCTAATCACGCAGCATGAGCCACTGGTTCATCTGCAGATGCATCGAGCCTGCAAATGAAGCATAAACAGTTCATAGTTCAGTTCATATTCGCCATCCAATAGGGAAAGTTGAAGACTAGTTATGAAAGCTACTAATGTACATCATGATCTTAGAGAAAACATTCTTCCTAGGGCATCGATATGATCTTAGAGAAAACATTCTTCCTAGGCATAGATAGTAATAACAAGTGGCTTTCTAAATCATATGAGTGTTGGACCTACTAAGTGTTGATCCAGACATTGATTGGTGTTCCAATGATGATAAGTATACAGTACAGAGAAAGACAAGCATTGTTGAATGACAAATGTGCTCTTGGCTATTTTACATGCGAAACCAGCAACTCAAGGAACCCTTACATTTCTCAACAACAGAATCACGAGACAAGAATTATCCGCTACCTTTGAATTCCTTCTCCAACTTCCATCCTGAAAAAGTTCTCTATCTTCACTGGTGAACCCACTTCCTTGGACAAATTGCTCAACAGAGTCTGCGTAGATTCGAGGAAGACATTAGCAATGTTACCATGCCTAGTGAATGCTGCGAGTCCAAGCACAAGCATGCGTGAGCAGAGAGGGATTGACTAATACCTTAACGGTTAGAGAATCATTGACAATAAATTTCTGCTCCGTAAGGACAACTTCCTCATAATATTTACGCATGCGGCCTTCAACCATTTTCTCTATGGCCATCTGTGATTTCCCTGTACTTTCTGCCTGATTGAACATCAGATTTTGAAATCGTAAGTGGAGGAAAAAACCACAGAAACACACTCATAGCCTACAAGAAATGATTGCATACCTGAGATTTTAGAATCTCACGCTCACTCTCCAATGCCTCAGAAGAAACTAGCTCCTTGGTTAAGAACAGCGGCTTTGCAGCAACCACGTGCATTGCCAGCTCCGACCCAACACGCTGAAGATCATCCAAGTGAGAACTTCCATCCTCAGTTTCAAGAGACAGTAGTCCAGCAATACGACCCAAACCTGAATTCAACCAACAAGTTGACATTATAAGCACAAAGATACCAATTCATAATTCAAAAGAGCAAAATCTGGTAAAATAACTGATGCAAACTTTCTATATCAAGAGAGAATTATAAATCACTTCAACGCGAACCTGGTTGAGGACTTGTATGGAGGTAGGTGGAAAGAACACCAGAAGTAGACATCACAAAGCCTCTTCTAAGTTTAACATTCTCACCCATCATTGCAGCTACCTCAGTAATTGCGTTATGAACTGTAGTTTCTCCACTTATCTTAGGATGTTCAAGATTCAACTTCAGTTCCTGGTGACAGGACAACATCAAATGACAACTATCAACGGCTTACTCAATGCAGGAAGTCCCAGTATAAAGTTAACAATGAGCTCCTGTCAACGCTCTCACCTCCAACGATTCAGGTCCGACAGACAGTACCCCTGAAGACTGCTGAGAACCATTCTCTACCAGGAGAGCTTGCTTTGCTAGAGATAAAGCCTGCAACGAGAACAGTTAAACCTCCAGTGATGAACAAGAACTCTCATCATATAGTAACGAAGAAAATTCACAGGAAGCTCGCTTTACCAAGTGCTGAAATATCTCGTTTCTGGAAACAAAGTCAGTCTCACAATTAAGCTCGATGATTGCAGCCTTCCCTTCACTCTGAGCCAAAGCGAGCAAGCCTTCAGTCGCAGCTCGACCAGACTTCTTCGACGCCAGAACTATCCCTCTTTTCCTCAAATCCTTCTGCGCCGCCTCTACCAGCAATTCATCCATATATCGCACCCCAATTCAGTTCAGCCAAAACAATAAGAATATCTTTCACCAAATAGAATCAAACAAATTTTTTTCCCTTCTTCTTTCTTACCAATGTCCCAGTTACACTCAACAAGGGAGGCCTTGACGTCCTTGATCGGAGCACTGGTCCGCTCTCTCAGTTGCTTGATAAGACTCATCTGCTCCCCCGACGCCGGAGACTGAGCGCTGAACCGCCGGAGAACCGTTAGGAAGCTGGATTCCATAGCAGAAGGAAAGCTTCTCTTCTGCATCATCATCTGAAGCGGACGCTTGGCGCTTCTGCAGAAAGCCATTCCTGCTTAACTGTTTCGCAGCTAAGAAGTAGACAAACGAAATCGAGGGGCTTCCGAGGATTGAGGCGGGAAGGGTTTAAAAGGTTGGGTTTAAGATCTAATTGTGAAGCAGCTGGTCTGAAGTTGAAGAAGAAAGGTTCCAGCGATGGAGGCGGAGGTGAGAAAGTGACAGAAATGGGACGGGAGATTTTCAGCCCAAGAGCTCAAAAGCCCGTTCGGGTCGGGGTTTAATCGAATTGCTGTTCTCGGCGAATTAACGGATTAAGTAGCCAACTACTTTACTTGATCCCGGGAGAATAAGCTTTGTCATGTTTGGTCACCGAGTTTATTAAAATATGTCGTATTTAGTCAATGAGAAAAATTAATAGCAATGTTGGTCACTCGAATTAGTAAAACGGTTCACGTTTAGTCACTCTCCGTTAGTCTCCATTAACACCGTCAGTCAATTGCTTAAATGGTTAACAGAAGTGCTGACTCGGCCTTTTTTAACCCGCCACATCACCAAATCTTCCACGCTATGTCATCTTTCTCAACTCAATCCTTAGACCATCCACATCCATGAAATACCATTTCTATTTCATATGTGACCTTTACTGCCACATTATCAACTTTTTCTATTTCATTACATATCACTTCCATTTACTCTACATCAATGAAATCCACTATCTATTTCATATGGTGGACCCAACTTATTTTTTAATACAACTATACATTTTATCTTACCTATATTATTTTACCAATTTAAGTGGTATCAAATAATTACATAACACAATCACAATTGCAAATGACAAATTACATAACACAATCACAATTTCAAATAAACACACGTGCATAACGCAATTACTATTTCATATAAACACATGTAATAAAAATACATAGAAACGATAATAGATTAATCATTGTACTTCTCATCTTTTGATCGTCTCCAAATCGATACTATGTGTATGTGTATTTGATTTTGTATTGCTCTTTCTTAATTAAAAAATTTAATTAATAAAAAATTAATAAATTTATCTAGTATAAGAAAAAAATTGTACTTAAATTATAATTAACAAAGAATAAATAGTAGTTAAAAACAAAAGAACATAATTTTCAATTCAAATAATAACAAAATGAAAAAAAAAGAACAAAGGAGCAAAAAGTGGGAAGGGGCCCACTTCCCACCCACTCACTATGTCATCTGCTATTTCATTTAGTGAAATCTTCCACTTTGTGAAATAGGCTTTACATCCATGAAATGGGAAAAGCAAGCTGCCACGTCAAAATAAAATAGGGAAGTGGAAGCCGTTTCAGATGGTCTTAAACTCAACCAGCCTATGAATCGACCCCTCTATCACTCTCTCCCCTCTTCGTGACCTGGCACCTCCTCTTAATTTTTTCTGGCCAAAGCTCTATCAAACTCCGAAACCTCCCTCCAATACCCTAGTCAGCCTATCTTCTATCCCATGGCCACCTTCACTTCCTCCTCTCCTGCATCCATATCGAGGACAAAAGGAACCCACCCACTTCGTTGCTTCTTCTCCTCCTGGCCGCTGCACTTAGTCGACTGCCATCTCCACCGTCTTGTTGCTTCTCGACTGTTGCATCTTCTTCCGACCAAGGAATTGACCCCATCTACGACCAGCCCCTTCACCCCCTTCTCTCTGCGATTGCTCTTCACTCCCTCCTCTCCTGAATCTAGATCGAGGATGATCGAAACACACCCACTCTACTACTTCTTCTCCTTAGGTGTTACGCTCAATCAGAATCCCGCTGCTAACCGAGAGTCTCGGTCCCTGCATCTTCTCCCGGTCGTTGGTCTTCTCTCGGCCACTACATCTTCTCCCCGCTTGTGAATCCTCGCCGCTAACAGAGAGTTCCGCCTTGCTGATCTCCTCTGCACACTAGCCTCCGTCCTGTCGTCCATCTCCTCTGCGGCCAGAGCAACATACGCCGCCATCCAAATGATTGTGGGAAAGCTCTGTTTGTTGATGAATTTGCAGTTCGACGTTATCGAATATGTGTTTTTGGATTGTTATGTTGTTAAACCAAACTTTTTTTGCATTTGATTTGGTTTAATAGGTTTGGTTTAAGAATTGGGTTGAGAAAGATGACATGGCGGGTTAAAAAAGGGTGAGTCAACACTTCTGTTAACCACTGACGGTGTTAACGGAGACTAACGGATAGTGACTAAACGTGAACCGTTTTACTAATTTGAATGAACAACATTTATATTAATTTTTTTTCGGTGACTAAACAAGACACGTTTTAGTAAATTCAGTGACCAAACGTGGCATTTACCCATTTTCTTTGGTTAATAGCATTTTGTACATATTTACTATTGCAAATTAACAATCATACACATCTACTAATTTTTTTTCTTCTTTTTTTTTGTTGAATCAGTTGCTTTTATTCCGAAAAAAGGTAACCGATACAACGAAGGGATCTCCAAGTAGGATTTCCCAGAGATATCACTCAACTAGCAGAACAACCTCACTTTCACTCACTATAGGTAATAATTACAATTTCCAAAAGTAAAGTCTATAAGTAACCAAGATGAACAAAAGCATCACGAATCCCCCTATCCCCATGAGATATGAACATTAAGTCTACACGAATAAGATCAGCAACTATTTCTGGTTTTCGACATAAGGCGCCATGTACCACTCGGCAACGTTCTTTCCAGATATAGGACACTGTGATACACCACAGCAGCGCATGCCACTGCCCATGAGAATCCCTGCCAATAGCCCCTGTGATAAACTGTATCATTGCATCCCAATTCTGAAAACTCAGACGAGGAACATGCAGCAGCTCATAGAGTCTTTGAGAAAAAGTGCAGCAGAGAAAAAGGTGCTCACGATCTTCTACTCCAGTACCACACAACGGACAGGCAGCATCTTTGGTTTTCCCCCATTTCAGCAATTTGTCTCGAGTGGTGATAGCATTTCGCATTAGCAACCAAGCGATCAAACTAAACCTAGGAGGACATTACTTGTTCCAGAAGAGCTTATGCCACTAGACATTGGGCTCCCTCTTGCGTAAAGTTTCCCATACTCTCTTAACTGAATAAACCCTCATCTCCTGCGACTCCCAAAGGACGATCCCATTCTGCTGCTGAATCCATGGTGAAAGAACACCACGCAACTTCATCAGTCTCCTCCAAACCCAGGAACTACTATACTGCACTTTAATTGACCAGAGATCCCCCTGCCTGCATTTGTATTCTGCCACCCATGCCACCCACAGGGCCCCAGCTTTCATAAGAAACAACCAGAGCAAACGAGCAGAACAGGCTTGATTCCATGCTACCATATCCTTTATCCCTAGTCCACCTTCCCTCCTAGGCAAAGCCACAGAGTCCCATGCCACCTTAGCCCTACCCACATCATTCCCATGTCGTAGAAATTGAGAGCAAACCTGTTGGATCCTCTTCAGTGCCTTCTTTGGGAGCACAAAGAGCTGCATCCAATACTATACTACTCCAAGCAGAACTGAATCAATAAGTTGTAATCTGCCAGCATATGTTAATTTCTTGGCACGCCATGATTTGATCCTCTTAGTTATCTTGTCCACGAGGATATCAACCTCTGTAGAAGAGAGCTTACCAGACATCAGGGGAAGTCCCAAATATCTAACAGGCAGAGCACCCTCCTTGAAACCAGAAAGATGCAGAGCATTACTCTTATATTTAATAGCCTCTCCTCCTCAATAGATTTCACATTTTGAAGGATTGCTCTTGAGTAGGGCTGCAAATGAGCCAAGCCGGTCGCGAGCAACTCGGTGTTCGATTAAAAAAAAACTCGTTCGACACTCGACTCGTTGTTTAACAAGCCGGCTCGCGAGCCGACTCGTTAGTAAAGGAGCCAAGCTTGAGCTAGACCATGCTCAGCTTGATAAGCTCGTGAGCTAGCTTGACTCGGTGGCTTGTTGAGCTAAGCTCACGAGCTGGCTTGTTTAGAGCTTGTGGAAGGATTGATTACTCTTTTGAACATGAAAATTATCATGTTAATAAAGATGTGTATGAAAGTTAGATGTTATTTTTAGTTTCTAGTGTTCTTTTTATCATTTTTTAGTTTCTAATATTCTTATTTGTACACATTTTTCAACAAAGAATGGTTTCAAATCAAGCTCATCTTGAGCCGAATTTGTACTCAACTTGACAAGCTGTGTTAATGAGCATTTATCGAGCTCTATCAAGCCGAGCTTGAGCTGGATTATTTTTAATCGAGTCGAGCTCGAGCTCGAGCTAGATGATCAAAATTCGAGTTCGAGCCGAGCTCGAGCTGAAAAATTTATAAACGAGCCGAGCTCAAGCTGAGCAAAAACTCGACTCGACTCGTTTGCAGCCCTACTCTTGAGCCCTGATAGCTTATAAAATTGATGCAGGACCTCTTTAACCTGAAGGATTGCCTGGGCAGAGCCAGTAGTAAATACAAGAACATCATCCGCAAAGCATAAATGATTTAATGAAACTCGCTGGCATTGAGGATGAAATGGAATCCTACCCATCTGACTTGCTGAAAGCAACATAGTTGATAGACCTTCCATAGCAATGGTGAACAGGTAAGGTGATAAAGGATCACCTTGCCTGACACCCTTCCTAGCTCTGAAGAATCCACAAAGGCTGCCATTTATGTTGAAGCTATAGTGGGCAGTTTGTAAACAAGCCCTGATCCACTTCATAAATTGTTCAGGGAACCCCATCGATTGCATCATAAGGAAAAGATATTGCCAGTTAACAGAGTCAAATGCCTTCATGATGTCAATTTTGATTGCACATCTGAAGACAGGTGACTTCTATTATACCCACTAACAAGCTCCTGAGCCAATAGAATGTTGTCCATAATGCTCCTACCCTTAACAAATGCTGACTGAGTACTACTAATGATCAATGGCATAATGTCACTAATGCGCCTGGCAAAAATCTTAGCTATTATTTTATAGAGCAGATTCACACATGAAATTGGTCGAAAATTCTTTAAGGTATCAGCATTTGATGTTTTAGGAATAAGGGACACAGCAGTAGCATTGACTCCACTAGGGAGGTTACCTGTTTGGAAGAAGAAGAGAACCCCATTAATGATATCCTCCCCAATAATTGGCCACATATTTCTATAAAATCCTGCCGAAAATACATCCGGTCCTGGCGCTTTCTGAGGATTCAAGCAAAATACCACACTTCTAATCTCCTCTGCTGTGATTTCCTTAACCAGATTAGCACACTCATGATCAGGTAATCGTTGTCGAACAAGCTGGTTTACTTCCTCTCTACTTGGTTTAATCTCCATATTAACTTCCCCCAAGAGTTTTTTGTAATACCTCAGAACCTCCTCAACAATCTGCTCAGCTTGATACATTTCCACCCTAGAGTCTGTAACCAACTTCCTGATAGCTCGTTTAGAGTTGTGGATCTTTACAGCTTGATGGAAGAAATTGGAGCTCTGATCTCCAACTTTCAACCAAGAAACTCTTGATTTTTGCCAGCAAAAACTTTCATACGCCGAGCTTATATGATCATAGTGATCCTTCTTAAGAGTAACATCTTCAAAATTCTCAGAAGTAGGGTCTGAGTATGCTGCTGTTTGGGCACGCAGTAGTTCTCCCTCAGCCTCTCTAACCTGGTCCTGCAAGTTACCATACACTTCCTTGTTGAATTTCTTTAAAGCCTGCTTTACTCGACCCAATTTAGTTTCTGTAAAGGGGACCCTGAGGCTTCACCAT